CTCCCAGTGATAAAGTTCGTAACATTATAGAACTTCTCACCAGGTGGCCTAGTCCTTTTTTCCGGTGAATCAGTGACACTGTTGTTGTAAGAACTTTTTTCATGAATATGTAAAGCTAGTGTATCATTTCATTGATAGGTAGAAGGAGAATAGGGTACAACGCCTCAAAGAGAATACATGTTAACGTTATGAAATCAAGTTGTGTAGTCCATGGGCACCCGCCTCTGCCCGGCCTGAACTTGGATGGACAAAATCAGCCGTTGGAGAAGGTATGCCATAGGGGTCATAGCCATCGAAGGTGCACCGGTCTGCGATGGCGCCAGATGGACCAAACCGTCAGGATTGCGAGTGAGGCGATCCCCTTCCGAAGGCCTGAAGGCATGGCATCAATGATGGAAGCGCACCATGGAAGGAAATCTTCATGGCTAGCAAGGGCAACGGTGGTGGCATGACACCAGGAAAGCAGATCATGCCAAATTTGTCGAGAATGAGCAGCCAATTAAGTGTGATGCATAGTTTCTGGTTCCTGGTTGCATAAGGGCGCATAGATCAGCGTCTGTGGGACGGTGAGCAACTCAACAGGGGAGCATCGGGCGGGAGTGGTCGAACATTTTTTGTAGTTGGTACGTAGCCCAGAGACCATCCCAAAGATGTGTAGCAGCTCGCGGATGGCTGGGAGGTCCTGACGTGAGATGCTAGATGTGGCGTGGCGGGGAGTGAGCTACCGCAGGATCCCAAAACATATAGCATGCTGCAGCAGAGAGTTCATCGCGTTAATGACCAATGTGAACAACATGGGAACATGGGGGAGAGGGGATCTCCCTGGCGAAGCCCTCTGGCGTTGATTAGAACCCGGGTGCTGGCAGTAGAGCAAAATGGAGATCCAATCGTGCATGTGCATTCAAAAGCGGGCGGAATGTCGAGCTTGAGCAGAACCCTGGGCACTTGCAGGTTGTCTAATTCCAGAGCAGTTTGTTGGACAAGCGTGAAGTTGTCGTGGATGCTGTGGCCCACAACAAAAGCACTATGTTTTGTCGACACAAGCTCCCCCAGCCGAGGTGCGAGACGCAAGGATTGAACCTTGGTGAAGAGCTTAGTAAACGTGTGCAACTAATGGGGCAATAATCACTGTAACCGGCGATATGTGATTTGTACATGTCCATTTAATGCTTTTGTTCATGCAACTTATTAAAAATTATGTCCATGTTTGCTTTTAAAAAGATGTGAAATGTTAAAAGCAATCTAAGTGTTTAGTGAAGAAAAGGGAAAACAAATTAAAGGTTGAGATATGAAAACTCAAGTTTTCACGTCACCCGCCAGCCTTCAAACTATTATGAAGTGTAGATATATGACAGACTTTGGTAGAGATGCTCTCATGGGGTCCAGACGTGAGAGTGCAGCGCTGCTAGCCCAATCTCTACTCCTAATAGAGCAGTTGGTGAATAGTCCACCGGTTATTTTTCGCTGGTTTTTTTCGTCTCACCACTTTTGTTGGTTTTATTTCACTCGTTTTATTTCGTCTCCCTCCCACCTGCCTTTTCGCTTCACCACCCACATAAACCCATCAGATTAGTTACCATATATTTGTGCTTGATCTGGCAGGTGTCGATTCAATTTAATCATGTAAATATTTGATAATTAAGAATTCAAAAATAATACCATATACAGAAGATCACCTTCCAAACAAATCACCTCCCTCTTCGATTTATTTCTCCCACCGATCTCCTTCCATACTAATAAAGTACCCATTACATTCCTAACGAAGAGAGAAAATAAAAAAAGAACCCCCCACCCGCACGAC